AATTGCTATTTCCTCTGATTAATTATTCATATACTATTATGATGTGATCCTCTTTGTCTCCTTTGAGTGGATCTGAAGTTTGCTTTAATCAGATGTGAGTATACTAACCCTTCTCGGGCCCATTTAGTAGAGAGTAGATCTTTTCCAACCTGTCACCCTGACCCGATGTTTGTGAATGCATTTCTTGTAGACAAGGAATAGCCAGGTAGGATTTTTAACTGCTTTTTAATCTGATTTTTAATCTGCTTCATCATTGTTCATCTTTTGGTTGGAAATGAGGTCATTAACATTCGGTGTTCTTGAAAGGTATTTCATCCTTCCTGACATTTTCTTCTTTTTGTAGTGTTGGTCTTTTCCCTGTTCCTCGTTCATTCGTCTGCTCATCGGGTGGGGTTTTTCTCCTTTTCATTGGTTCATTTTTCCTCTGTGGGTAGTAAACTGAATATCTTCTCTAATGCTGGGTTGGTTTTCATAAATTGCTTTAGTTTTTGTTTTTCAAGGAAGGTTTTTAGGTATTCCTCATTATGAATGCTAGCTTTGCTGGGTAGATTAATGTAAGTTGGCTGTTTTTTTCTTTCAATTCTTCAGTGCCCTTCTTGTTTTTTAAAGTTCCTTGAGAAATCTGTTCCTGGCCTGCGGGGGGGGGGGGGAGGGAAGGGGGAGGGGGAGGGGGGGCCTGACCATCTTGTCAGCACTTTACAGCATTTCACCCTTGCCGTTTACAGTGGGCTTTTTCTTGTTCTTGTTCTGAACATTTAACGTTTCCACTGTGATGTGTCTTAGAGTAGTTCTACAGTCTGTTCTGCTGCTGCTTTCTCACGACTTAAAATTTTTTCTATTATTTCATTGAATATTTCATTGAGTGGCTTTCACTTCTCTTTCTTCTTTGCCTGAGGTTTTTGCCTATTCCACACACATCCTAATTTTCTCCCAATTCTCCATTTGATTGTTCTAACACATCGATTACGTCACAGACTGGAAGACAGGCAGGAATTCTCTTCCTCTCAGTCTCAAGGCTGGACGTCTATGAGCAAGGTGGACCAGGATTGTTTTCTCCTGTGAGATCGCATTTCCCTCCCATGGCCTCCTCACTTTCCTCTGCCTGTGCCTGACTCCTAATCAGGTCTGGCAAAGACACCAATCACACTGCGTTAGGGTACATCCGAGTGGCCTCATTTCACCATCGTCTCTAAAAAGTTCCCTATCTCCCAACACAATTACATTCTGAGGTACTGCTGTTAGGGCTTCCGTGGACGACTGCAAGGGATCACGGGCACCTAAAACACCGGCCAGTGCTGTGGTCACATACGCGGGAGAGCACAGCATGACTGGCACTCCACTGGATCCCTAGCTGCGTTGTCTAGGGTGCCTTCAAAGTCGAAGGTTCTGTTGACACTGGAAGAAGGCAGAATAAATCCAACTACAGCAGCCTGTGCAGTCTCTGTGGAGTCCCAGGCCTTTTGAGTTTGTAATTAAAGCATCTGATCAGGATGGTAAGGAAGTGGGACTCTGGTCGAGGAACCAGTAGAACTTCAGGCAGGGAAATAGGAATTCAGACTGTGCTCATGGTCTGGTGCTCAGACAGCATTTTGTAAACAGAAAACATGGGTTTGGGGAGAGAAAGATGGGGCTGAATTGCATTTGGAGAGCTTGAGTTCCCTGCTCTGCTGAAAGTCTCCAGAAACAAGTAAATTCCACACATCTCCTACCTATCCTTGGTCTCAACAGGTCTGACTTCGTTGGCAAGCAACCATCGGAAGAGAAAACTGTCTCCTGTGCATTGCCTTCGATAAACGTGTTAGCGTCCCTGCAGCGACATCAACGTGTCTGAGGTGTTTCTATTCCTTCCTAGCAGGTGCTGGCATTCCCCAAGGAAGTGTTGTCACTAAATTCGACAACAGGGTCTGTGAGAAGAACAAGGGGCAATGTCAGCGCTCTCCGTGCTCTCGCAGCGCCAGAAGAATTGGCACCTGTTACCAAGGGACAGGCAACTGCTGCAAAATGTACAGAGTCATTGGATGAAAGAACACGCAAAGGGTGTGGCACCAACTTTTAATAAAGGAACGTTTCTTTGAAACACGTTCATCAGGCCAAAACTGAGTCTGTGAGTGGATCTGGAAGAGATTTCTTTGTTATAAATGTGGGATTGAAGCCATAAGGGTTTCAATGAGAAAGAGGCCAGACCCGGGACAGGCAGGCGGGGCAGGGCTTGAGTGTGTCAGGGCAGCAGCCACCCAGCATCCCTTGAGTCACATCAAGCAACATTGTCTGGGCCAATGTCTGTTCCCACAACTCCACTCTTGGCTCAGCCACAGGCACACACCACAAAGCAGTCAGCTCCCCAGGTTTCCCGCCTGCCCTTCTGTACGTGCGCACCACCCTTCCAGGTGGCGGTGGTGGTCAGGCCGCCTGCCCTCTGTGTGTGCGCACCAGCCTTCCAGGTGGCGGGTGGCGGGCAGGCCCCCTGCCCCTCTGTGTGTGTGCGCACCAGCCGTCCAGGTGGCGGGTGGTGGTCAGGCCCCCTGCCCCTCTGTGTGTGTGCGCACCAGCCTTCCAGGTGGCAGTGGCGGTGGCGGGCAGGCCGCCTGCCCCTCTGTGCGTGCACACCAGCCTTCCAGATGGCAGGTGGTGGTCAGGCCCCCTGCCCCTCTGTGTGTGCGCACCAGCCTTCTAGGAGGCGGGTGGTGGTCAGGCCCCCTGCCCCTCTGTGTGTGCGCACCAGCCTTGCAGGAGGCGGGTGGCGGGCAGGCCGCCTTTCCGCGTGCGAGCGGCAGGTGCCGGGCAAACGCCGGCTCCCGGGACGGTGTCAGCCCCACGCGTCCTCTGTCCACGCCAGGCCGGGGCCGAGAGGGCTGCGTGTTTGCTTCAGAACTTGGTTCTTCCCGGAGCTTTCCGGGTGTTGTTGGCCGGTCCGTCGTGGGGCCTGCGCTCGGGCGGCCGCTCCTCCGCTTGGGCCTCAGCGCCACGCCACGGTGCTGGCGGCTACGCAGAGACCGGAGTCTCCCGGGGACTCTTCCGCGCGGGCTGGCTTCGAACCGCGATCCTGGATCTCAGCCGCCGGCGGAAGGCTGGCTTCCTCCTTCTGCAGCTGAAGCTGGCGATGCCGCCCCGGTGGGCGGGCGATGCCGCGGCTGTCCACGGACGGAAACAGACGAGCGGCCCGGACCGGCCGCCAGCAGAGCGCCGGGGACCG